GTCCCTTGGTGTGTATGCCCGTGAGTTCCTCCAGGTAGATCACTAGGAGTGGAATTGCAGGACCACAGGAGAGGCACCTATTAAGTTCCATTGCTGTTGTTAGGTACCATCAGGTTGGCTCTCCCTCATGGCGACTTTATACACAGCTGAACAGAACACCACCTCGGTCCTGTGTCGGCCTTATGTTGGACCCCGTCGTTGCAGCTACTGGGTCAGTTGATCTTGTTGAAAGGCATCCTTTTTTTTCTCCTGGGATTGGTCTCCCTAGAAATTTTGTTCAACTTTCAGTCAGGACACATGTCAATTTCATTAAGTCGTACCAATCTAATTTGTCAAAATCAATGCACTAAGTTATATTCCTACCAGTGGTTTATTACTACGAGTGGGCTTCGAAAAGTCATGTAAAAGAGGAATGAAGAGGTAATGGAATTTTCCCGCACACTTTTTGAAGGCCCCTTCCCACATTCCTCTCCCTAACTTTGCATGCTCATCAAGCGAACAAACAGACATAATACCGCGTTGGCTTTGGGGGTCCATTCCAATAAAAAGTGACCTCACGTTGGAGATTAGAAGTGAATTTCTTGACTGTAATTGTGATGGAAACAGATTGCCAGGATCCCCTTCTACAGAGGAGCTGGGTGGGCTAGAACCACCAGTCTTCAAGTAACAGCCCGTTGCAAACGACTCGCACCACCAAACGCCTGCAGGAGCTCATAATACATAACTGACAGCGTCAGACTTAGACATTTTAGTTAATCTGGAAAATGAACAGAATATCTCATTCCATTTCCATCACCTTTGCTTGTTTTTGTTTTCCCTACAACTTCCTCAGATGATTCCAACACACAGGCAGGTTTGTGCTGTTGACGTAGGGCCCCTTCAGACTTGCTTTCACCCTGCCGCCCCTAACGCTGTCTCTGGATTCTTGCCCCCAACTCTAGAAACAAACCTTGTAGGCCATGCATTTCTGGCCTTTGTAAATTTTTGTTTTTAAATTTTAGAGTTATTGAATTGTGATCACAGTTTGGTAGATCAGGGGAAAAAATAGCTATTGCATTCCTTATTAATTCTGAAGAACTGTGGAGCCAGACATTTTAACTTTGAATGTCATTGCCTTTTGTAATAAAAACAAAACAATTCCACTAAAGTGTGCACTGCCATTCTACGACCTATTTCTTGTCTTCCATTCTCTACTTTGCAGTCATTGCCATGTTCCTTTTCCCTGAATACTGTGACAAACCAAAAAAGGGGAAAGAGGGATGCATAGAAAAGAATTAATAAATGCTCGGCTCTCCTCTCTGTTCTTTAGAATGAAAGTGTTTTGAGCCTTTGTGTTTTCATGAAGCCAGATGTGAAGGGTCACTGTACGTGTTGAGTATAATCCTGTGCCTGTTAGATGAATCCGTGAGGATTAGAATGCCCATGTCTTCTTCAATGTTCTTCACTTCCATCTCTCCAAAAAATAACTGGTCTTTCCACATAGGAAACCCTGTTATCATTAAGGACTATAATATGAGTAATCACAAAAGCCACACTGAGTACACTAGTCTATGTTATCAAGTTTTCTAGCAAGCAAACATAGCTTGGCAGCATCTCTCCACTGCCCAACACTTAGGTTCACTTTTTTTCTAATGTCTAATGGAAAGTTCTATCCTCCCACAGCATCAATCTGTTTTAGAAATAGAGGGAACCGTCCTCCTCTTTAGAAATGAAAGGGACCCTGAACACAGGGGACCTACGGCAGTGATTCTTTCTGCAACAGCATTGAGGAGGACTGCGAAAGCTTATTCACATGTCCCAGCAATGGAGAGCTCACCATTTTTTGAGTCAACACATCACAACACCTACCCGTTAGGGATGCTCGTGAAAAAGACCAGTGTGAGGAGATCCCTTGACTTTCCAGGAAAGAGGCAAAGACTCAGGGAGACTTAGGGACACGCTCTCATCTGCGCAGAGGCTTAGCAAGAGCCTGCATTCCAAAGGTGGCTCCTGAGCCCCAACGTTGCAGACTCCCTGTCATTTAGGCAAAAAAGGTATGATGGTAGAGAGAAGAAGGAGTGATGGGTGCCCTTTAGGGTAATGTGGTCGCTGTTTTTTTTCTTTAACTCAACATTTATTGGTTGGATGGTATTTAGAAACTATTGTAATATTTCTTGTCAGAGGCAGCAAGATAATACCAATCACAGATAATGAACTCTAAGAGTATAAATTCTGAACGATTTTAATTTATGGCCCCTGTAACTGTGAATAATAAGGGAGATACAATTCAGATCAGCAAGATAATAAAAAATTATCATCTTGATGGAACACAATATTATAAATGAATAAAATCTCGACGAATCATCAGGTTGAGGCACTTTGTGACTTTTTAAGAATGCCAGGGGCATGTTGGATGTCCATAATGTCCTGTATTTTGGAATGCAGTCAAGGAAATGGATTTTTCTTCTTTGGGACAAGGTTTTTGATCTCTAGCATGAACTCTAGCATACAAATGGAAAACAGATTATCAACTATAATGCCCCCCCTCCCCCTTAGTTCATATGTATTCAATTCACCTGAAATGTAAGAGTAGTTTCAGCTCTGGGAGACTTGACATTCTTCCTGTATCAACCCACCTTTCTCCTAGGGCACCCATCCTCAAGTTTTTGTTTGTTTTTTTGTGGAGGGTTTGATGGGAGAGATGTTTTGAGATTCTTCTACTTATGAAGATGGCTTAGTTTTTTAAGGTTTGAGAAACCCTGGCCTGCATCCTGTGATGGCTAAGGCCATGGGCCAAAGATGGCCAGGGCACTGCAACACCCAAATGGGGACATCTAGATTGTTGGATTCAGTCCCATTGTGTCCTAGCCTTGTCTTTCCTTTTCTTGTATTCAGGCTGACTTGTAGCTCCTGGATGTCTCTCCCTGGGCCTTTGAGCTGGGGGTCCTCTGATCATCCAGGGAGTCAGGTTAGACATGTTCAGAGAAACTCAGATTAACCCAGCTTCCCTCACTCTTCCTCTAGTTCCTTCGTTCATTTCCAGGTCTACAGGTGA